CCACTTGACTTCAGTTCTTATCTCCTCCTTCTCGGATTCCGCTGCCTTTTTTTAATTTAAATGCCCCTGTGTGACCACTAACCAGTTTTCACCTTCAAGTACTCCTGAGGGTCGTGGGGACTGTTCCACTGAGTTCCTTATCAACAACCACAGTTTTATGAAACTTGACAAAAAGTAGTGAGGAAGAAAAGTAACCAAAGCTATTGAACAGAAAAGATGCAAAAAAGTTATTACATTAACTGCAAGGTTCTTCAAACAAAAAAGCATTCTGCTACTATGTTGTTGTATAAGACCCTCCTGAGCAAAAAAAAATAAGGATTATTATGATGACACCAAGTTTGATTAGATTCTGAAAATATGAAACTGGCTCAAAAGCACTGGCAGCAATATAGATAAATTAGAATTCACTGCTGTACCCATAGCAATATTTAAAATGGACGAAAGGGAAATTTTAATTTAAGGATGTGATTAGGAGAGTTGCCAGGGGCTGGGCAGTTCTGAGAAATTTTAGATGACTTATTAATAACAATTTATGCAACTAAAATGGAATTTTGAACAATTGCAATGAAGTTCTAATTCCACACAACCTTTTCATTTGGGACATCCAACTAAAGCCAATGTGACTCAACTTGGGAAAACTGCTTCATTTGGCTTTGACTATAGTTGTTGCAACTTTGAATCCACAATCAAGTATCATGGCACATCAAATTAGAACCTTGGTCACGATATCTTCTTATATGTTGGTATGTTACTAGATACTAGGCTTTCATAAGGTCTTCATACTGATAAACTATCACTGAAACTTTATCTCAGTATATACTCTGTTCTTAATGTTTTAAACCCCTAAGATCTTGATATCTGTCTGCCAAGTGACCCAGTCTATGATAAAACTGCATATACTGGGTTGTTAACAATTGTCAGACATCTTGATTTATCATAGTAATAATAAGTCCTGATAGTCAAAAGGTATGTCTATCAAAAAATATGTAAGAGGGAATAAGACAGAGAATAGGATAAAAGCTCTGAAACTGGAAAAAGTGGGGTTTCATCAAATCCCATAAGTATTCATAAATATAAAAATAAAGGCATCCAGGAGCTTATAACATATAACTAACAGATACTAGATATATGATATAGATTATAGAGAATAAATATAGATATCAATATTAATACAATTCTAAAATTCTAAAACACTTAAAACATTCAGAAAGGAGTTAATAGACAATTACTTAATCTTATATATCAACAATGCATAAGAGTCCAAATTGTAGATGGATAAGGGATCAGTCCAAGCAGATGATTATAGCACATATAGTCTTTAAGCATGTATCATAAATAACCTCTGACCTATTTGAATATCCTTTACAGAATCAGATAAGGTTCTTATGAATTTATTCTACATTCATATAAGAAAGAATAAAAGAAAATAAAATAAAATATAAAATAAACAATATGATAAAACACAAAATCTAGGCTTGTTAGTATCACAAACTAACAGCCTAATTGACATTCTCCAATATAAAAGTCTGGGCTAACCACCAGAAACAGCAACTGTAGCAAACAGGGATAGATACTAAAGTATTCCGTATTGGTGCCCTAATGGTACTTTAGATTACGTCTATATACATCCAAGACGACTTGTAGAAAATAGTGTTGTCAAAAAAGAAATGCTTTATTCACGTTAAAAATAATAATAAATAGTTCTAATAAAAACATGAAATACTGGGTAAATCATATACCACAAAAATGTTCCGAAGTAAGAGAAGGGGAAAAGACCATATAACCTGAACCGATCGTCTGGATGGCTGAGGATGTTGATATTCCCCTTCCGAGTTGGTACTGCAGCAGCCGGTGAGGACGGCGTCCGCATTTTTTGGCACTCCACCTCCGACCTCACATCAAGAGGTGAGCCTCCAGAATGACGTTGTGTAGTGGATAGAAACTTGTTCTCTCCAACTCTTCTCTTCGTATTGATTTCACAGCCTTATGCGTTTCATAGGGTACTGCCCTATTTCATCAGAGGTATGTCTTAATCTTAGTCCATATTGGTATATATATACACAGTGTCCTACAAGTCATCAATTGCTTATAATTGCATATCAAATCGGAATTTAGAACTTAAAATGAACATACAAAATGTAAATACTATAGCTGTGATTATATCGGTACATAGAAAATACGAATGAATGAATGTTCCAACTACATAAATCACACATATACATCGTACATATAAAAAAATTAATAAATAAAAATAAACAATGTAAATCCATTAATTTGTCTTCTTATGTCTATTCCATTCATAATAAGTCAGAACTATACTGGTTAAAACATTGGACCTTTCTATGTAAAAGCAGAAATAAAACAATAAAATTCCAATTCAGGTCCACATTCTGAGATGAAAAAAATGGAAAAATATATAATAGGATAATAATTGGCATATACGAGGATAAAAATAAATAAGTAAAAAAATAAACGAGAGATAAATATATAAATCTATGAGCCAGAAATCTGTCACTACAGCAAAAAATCCTAAAACACTATTAAAATAAAATAAAAATCTTAAAATAAAGAAGGATTACTTAGTGGTACATAAATATGTCTCTGTCTGCCAGTATCGGTTATAGACAATCTGGCAATCGGTAATAGGCCAAAAACTAGCAATAGAAAAACACAATAAGTTGCAATAAAAGTGACAATGATGTAATTCGCACATAAAGATAGAAAACACAACCGTAGGAGAACAATAAAATATGGGCAGAGGAAATAAAACCTCAAAAAAATGATGATAGTAGTCAAAATAATTCTGAACCCATGAGATAACATATAAAATCGATGAGATAGAAGAGGTATATTAATGTATTTAATTAGTGGAAACCTTGTTAGAAGGCATTCAACTCAAAGTCCACATTGAGACCCTTTGGTATTAGGGTGTTAAGGGTAAAAATCTTGATTTATCATAACTACTTTTGCTATATGTATATTTTCTTTCTTAGAACGTGTAACATTGTATTACAGATACCCACAATCAATGGGAATTATGGCAAATTAATAAGAAAATAAATATATTTTGGTCTAATAAAAGCAACTCATTGTGAGTTGATTGCCAACTTGAAATATTTAGGCTAAAATTGTTTATTCAGCAGGCCTGCGGAGCTTCCCAAATTTAGGAATTTTTGCCTTAACTTTTTGAAGCCAATTCTCCACTTACAGCAACTGGCTGTTAAATGTATCAGAATGTAAATGGCTAGGTTTAGCACTATCCATTTAATATCCTCCTGGTTCCTTCCTAGTTAGGTTTGCCATATTCCTGGACAAATATTACTTAAATCATTGACTTGTGCTATGTGAAATTCAGAAGCTGCTGCATGAAGTTAAGCCATTAGTCTTTTAGGGATCCCTAGAATATACAGTATACATGCTGCAGGGCAGCTCTCTTCATGTGTTTCCTTTGACATTAGGAAACTATAAGCACCCTGGAAAACATTTGTGGATTTGACAACCCTAATGATGGAGAAACTAGGGAGTAAAAATAGGACACAAGGATGAGCCATTATTCTTTGTAAGCCCCATCTTCCATTATACTTCCAACTCTCAGTTTTATTTCCTCTATCAATTTAAACCTTCCACTGTTTTCCTGTCCCATTCCCTTTTTTTGCCTCTTCTGCTTGTTGTTGCCTCTTCTTGCTTCTTTATTTCCTCCATATACAAGTATATCGGCCTCTCTTCATTCAAACCTTTTTTTACAGTCCCCCATGCATTTATGAGACTTGTGAATAGCGAAATAATTTGTTTCAGCCGCAAATTTTTAAAATAATTCGGCCATATGTCAGTGTAGCTCTGCTGATTTTTATTCAGAGAAAGTGGTGGGAGTCTAGTTATTAGTGGTATCAGGCAGGAGACAGACATGAACCCAATTAGTTTTAGAATTAGAAATGGCAGAGTACCCTGACCGTAAGAGCAAAAGATGATGCAGGTTAAAACTTAACTTTTATTATTATCACCTAAAAATGTGTATATTTAAATATCAGTCAGTATGCTGGTGTATCAAAGGATTAACAATATTAGTAATCGATAGATTTCAAAAGTTGAATCAAAATATAACGTAAATATTTCAATAGATATCAATAGATAGATATATATACAATGAAGTAAAGTGAAAAATAAAATAAAATAAGGTATTTAGAAATAGTAAGAAAAGAAAATTAAATAATAATAATATATATGTATATTAGTGAGACAGAACCCAAATTTCCAAACACATCATTGTTATCTAATGTCCTCAAGAAATCATGGTTCTGAATCACACTGGTGTTGGTTCTTACTTAGAATGTACAGATAATTATCTCTCTGAGTCAAGCAGACCAATGTATCTAAAGCACTGACACAATGAGCTTCTACTGTTAACCTCTAAAGAGCAACAATGTATCTCAGGAGGTTGTTACAAATAAAGGGAACCTAAACTAAGTAGCGCTCTGGGAAATCGTGGTACACCTAAAGTTTCACACCAAACCGTAAGACACAAATTAATCATATATTATGATAACTGAGAGACAAGAAACCTACAAAACCTACAAAACTAGAGAATACTGCTCTGTAAGGATTCTATGCTTTGCCTTTGAGGGCACCTGTACTTCTGGAGCAAGCAAAGAGCTAACTATCACTGAAGTAAGCCGTATTCGATCGATCTAGTTGTACCTGGACTAAAAATGGCTACTATCTCTGATACATCGTAATGAAAGTCGGTGAGTACAAAGTCAAGTCTAGTCTCAGGTAGCAAGTGAACCCTGAAGCGTGTTTCGCCGGCAAGGCTTCCCCTGAAGAGCCGCCTTACCGGCGAAACATGCGTCGGGGCTCACTTGCTAGCAAATAAACACTGTTACAGCGAAGTTACTAATTTAAAGATATTATTATTATTTTATTATTTATATAGCGCCATCAGATTCCGTAGCGCTGCTATCTTTGTTTTGTATGATCTTATTACTTCCCAAAATTTTTGTATGAGCAGATATTGAACTGATAATTAAATATTTACAATTATTCACTTTATGGCCAAGTTATCATATAATCGCCCATCTTTGAAGGTTTCCCAGGAAAACAAAATGGTCTGGATATATTAATATAATAATGGCAACGTATGTCATGGAAAGTAAGTTCAACCCAGTACATTTAATGTAACAAAGCAGTCTCTTATAATTGACCTTTGGTAATGAACGTATATTTGATCTGTTGTTTGCCTACAAAGATAATCTAATCTGATTCAACTCTTGCTATGGAAATTATATTAACACTTCATACGTAATTACGATGTAAAAAAACAATCAATCATAGCATCAAACATAAACTAGTCACACCAGACACATGCTTGTGATGATGATTGCAAGAATGTGACTGACCAGTCTTGTTCTTGAAGAACAAGTTAGAAGCAGTTGCTAACCAAATCCAGAGACACATGTGTTGTATGAGTTAGAGAAAAAAAAAAGTACACAATAATTTGTTTTGATGAAAGGTCTTCTTTTATTTAGCTTCCAAAAGGTATAAATACATATTAACTTCATCATAAACTATAAACACATCAAACATAAACTCTAGTCCCAGAGAGGGCTTCTATAACAAACACATTTCCATTCTATAAGCCTGAACTATCTAAATGAGAGCGGGACAATGTTTTATGTATTCAATTTAATGGCTCTTAGATCGAAAGTTGGTTGTCTTTCAATTATCTTGCATTTTTTTCTATCGTTAATTACAAATTCCTCTTGCAAATATCAGTACCAATACCAAAGATCTCTCTAACACTCGCTTCCTGTATTGAAAACAAAACTCACCACTCGGGAATGAACATAATCTCTCCATGACACTATCAACTTCACACTTCACCCTTTGTAAACCTTTTAGCCTACCCCGAAACAATCTCTGACCATACAGAAAGAACCTGTAAAAATATCCTATCTATAAATAAAAAAAAAAAAAATTACATTCAAAAATTAATAAACTTATTTAAAGGGTTACTGTTTCTGGTCTGAATAACTCTTCTATTCTGCCCCCCACCCTCCCCACCCCAAAGTAACTATACAGAAAAAAGAAAAAGAAATGAATAGCAGAAACTCACCGTCCAATCCAGTGCCAAGGCCAAGTTCTCCCTCAGCCCGATCCTCTACTGCCATAACTCCTCTTTGGAAGTCAGGGAGGGCACTCAGCCGAGGGAAGCGCATGGTCAGCACGCAGGTGGGGTGGGGTTAAAGGGGGGGTAGGTGCCACCATTGGCTGTCTAGTGCCAACATACAGGGCGTGCTGACGAAAAACACCAAAAATGCATGGAATTCATATTAGTCATCCTGGAACTTTTCTTTCTGGCTAATGATACCCCAATGATGGTGCCAGTAGTGGAGTTATACCTCCGGCAGCAGAGGGTTTAAACAATGTATGTGCATAATGAAATGCTGCACATACAGGCTGCAGGCATCATTACTACTTCAGTTCAGTGAAGTAGACATGGTGCTTGGTGTAACCCTTTAACTACCTATATAACTTCATTCACCATGAAAATGGCACTCTGCGGTTATGGCAGCCCATCCTATTAATGTAGAAAAACCCTCAGCATTCCATATGCCTGTAAAGCCAACCCGAAAATTCCATACACCAGCCATATCAAACCCAAGTTAGCACTGTGTTCTCAGCTGCCCTCTTCTGCTCTACAAAAATAAAAATAATTGCAATAACCCAAAACTACATTCCAAGAGTTACCCAAAAAGCATAATTATGCAAAAATTCAAATGAGGTTAGGCCCAAAATGTATCATAAAGCTTCATGTAATCTCCTCACCAAGTTGATCTACACCCAAGACCACCACCAGTGTCAAGAGGTTTTCCTCAAGTTCTCCAAAAAAAAAACCCAATTCCCAATCCCATTTTTTTAACCGATGGCATGTGGTTTCACATTGTATTTGCCTTTCTCTTTTGTGTTTTGCCTTCCTTTTTATAAATCTGCCTTGAAGGAACACTATACCCTTAGGAATACAAACGCCATAGTGTCCTCTAGCTGTTCTGGTTTCCTTCAAGAGCATGAAAATGATGATTTTTACTTACCTTTTCTCCATTACCATGTTGCTCTTTCCACTGACACCCCGCCTCCTTGGCTGATATTATCAGCAGTGGTGTATCCTGGTTTTGTGCTGCCCTAGGCAGGACAAAACTCAGGCGCCCTCCCCGCGCCACCCCCACCCAACCCTTCCCCGCCCCACCTTCTAAATACACACACACAGTCAGACACAAACACACACACACACAGTCAGACACACACACACATACACAAACACACACACAAACACAGTCAGACACAAACACACACACAAACACAGTCAGACACAAACACACACACACACATACACAAACACAGTCAGACACAAACACACAGACACACATACACAAACACAGTCAGACACAAACACATACACAAACAGTCAGACACAAACACTCACACACACAGTCAGACACACACACACACACAGTCACACACACAGTCAGACACAAACACAGTCAGATACAAACACACACACTCACAAACACAGTCAGATACAAACACACACACTCACAAACACAGTCAGACACACACAGAGTCAGACACACACAGAGTCAGACACAAACACACAGTCAGACACATACACAGACACAAACACAGTCAGACACAAACACACACACAAACACAGACACACACAAACACACACACTCCACAAACACACACACACTCACAAACACAGTCCAGATACACACACACACAGTCAGACACATACACAGACACAAACACAGTCACACACAGACAAACACAGTCACACACAGACAAACACACACACAGTCACACACACAGACACAAACACACACACTCACAAACACAGTCAGACACATACACAGACACAAACACACACACTCACAAACACAGTCAGACACAAACACACACACACACTCACAAACACACACACTCACAAAACACACAGTCAGACACAAACACACACACAATCACACACAGTCACACACAAACACACACACACACTCACAAACACAGTCAGACACAAACACACACACACACATTAACTTTTTTTTAAATTTAAATCCCCCCCAACCTCCTTACCTTTGGGAGTGCTGGGGGG